TTGCATGCAATGGACTCCGGGAGTCGAGCATCTGGTAAGAGGCCATTGCTCAAACTGGCACATAAAACTGCGCGACTTCCAAGAGCTAGAAGTCACCGAACGTGGACAGTTGCTGACTGGCGGAATATTATACTGTCTGACGAATCACGTTTTGACTTTATTTAAAAGACGCACGCCATCGAGTGCAACGAAGAGCAGATTAAGCCTTTCATCCTGACTGTATGCAAGATCAGGTTCAAGCAGAAGGGATGTCTGTCATGTTTTGGGGACATTTTTCTTATTATGAATTGGACCCCCTAACTGAAAAGGCCACTAACAAGAATAACATGTTTATGTGAACATTCTGGATGATAAGAAGTCGCCTTTCAATCAACAACTTTATAAAGAGTGTGTTGTTTATACCCCTAATTTTCAAGATGACAACAGCATAGTTCATCGGGTTGAAAATATATATGACTGAATGACAAAGATGAAAAGTTATCCGACGATGATAAATTTTACCATCTCATACAATCTGTATTACCTAATTCAAGAGCTACTGAAGTTATCGAATCTTTTCCCGCAACTGCTGCAAATTATCCGAAAGCAATTGAACAGTACTGTAACTAGGGATGAAAAACTCAGCCGCTGGAAGGATCCCCTCCCTTGCTTAAAATGAATGATACCTTATTAATTCAGGAATTAAAAAATAGCGGAATAGTTTCATCCGATAATACATTTTTTCGTCAAAAAATAGTATAAAGATTCTTCCAGGCTGTAGATACGAACTCTGTTTGCCATTTAAATCAACAATAACGGCCGACAAATAAAGAATTATCTATAAGGTGTCACAGAAAGATGTGCTATAGATTATGGTCTTTGCACGTGAAAGACTCGTTAATGAGCGTTTTATGGTCTTTGGTATCTATTGGTATTTTAGACCCCATTGAGAACGCAAAAAAAAGTTGAAAATAGTCGAGGGTCTAGGAAGAGTTAAAAAATAGTATAAAAATTCTTCCAGGTGGTAGATACGAACTCTGTTTGCCATTTCAGTCAACAATAACGGTCGACAAATAAAGAATTATCTATAGGGCGTCACAGAAAGCTGTGCTATATATTATGGTCTTTGCACGTTAAAGACTCGTTAATGAGTGATTTATGGTCTTTGGTATCTATTGGTANATGTTTTAGTCATGTAACAACAATTTGTAAAGACCTCTTGCAAAAATTCTTGTTCGCATGAAGATAGTTCTGCATCAGACAGCCTCTCTAAGATATTATTTTTATACTAACATGTGATATTGAAATAAGTATACAAAATATACAAAACTATCGATATACAAAATTATCGATATACAAAACTCTCCATGTTTTTTTATAGTTTTACTTCTCTTTGTTTTTCTTTATGTTGTGCAATTATTTGTGATACAGTTTTTTAATATATTTTACTAATTAAACAAGTTTTTTAATACTTTATCTACCTAAAGAATCTTAACTAGGTAACAATTAACTATTTGAACTAGAATAAATGTCACTTGACTAAAAAAAAAACAAAAACACCTTACAGGTGCAACGCGATTCGGAACAAGTGCGCGTCTAACAGAAGGTTAATTTGATTGTCCATGTTTCTTTGTATTTGAGTCTTCCTTATTAAATGTGTTTGTGAATATTGTTACTGGTTTTCCTTTTGTATTGAAGTTCTTTTTGTTGCTTGCGGCCAGTTCTAAATTTATCTTAATGACTAAACATCTACCAGATGTTTTCATAAACAAAATTGTTTTACAATTAAATTAACTACCTGCTACAATTACATTTTTTAAAAATTCAAAAACACATAATTGGTATCAAATAATGACGAAAAGTAACAAACTTGTTCATGCTGCATCCCAAATAATGGAAAACCCTGAAAAAAGAAAATATTTTTAGTTATAATAAAAGAAGTTCGAGANAAAAGTTCGAAAAATACATTTTAAACTAATTAAAAGATTATAAACGATCTTTTCAAATAATAGTACGTGACTTTTCATTATGTTTATTTAAACATTTCTTGAGAAGACGAGAGATCAAAACTACAATTTTTTCCTCAATGCATAACTGTTTATTATTCAAGATAGACTAAATCCACAGGACCGTAAAATGACAGAAAAAAAGAAAAAGAAAGAAAAAAAAATTTTTTTTTTAAAAGAAAACGCAGATTAAAAAATTTACAATGCATTTTAATATGTGAATCACAATTTTCGAATCTATTTCGAGCTAAAAAGTAGTTTATATAGATTTTAGAGATTATCTTTGCTATATCTGACGTTTCATCGAATTAGAGTGTTAAAAAATCACCCAAATTTATTAATCTTTCCAATATTTTTAAATTCATTCAAACATTAACCTTTAAGAAACTTAAGACTTATACCACTTTAAAAAATAATGACACATGCAATCTTTACAAGTTTTTAAATTGATTATTATTTTTTAAATGTAATATATTATAAGCTAATTGCTTTGTTAATAAATTTCGATTAGTATTCTTGTATTGGTACTTGCAGCAGTATTGAAATGTCATTTAAAAAATATAATAATTCATTTAGATTTTTCAGAATACAAATAAACGAAGTGAAAATTTAATGTAGTCTCTCTTATCCGACTAGGGTTGTAGGTAGACATGCTAGCTTGTATTCATTCCAGCCACAATAAGGAACAGTCGGACATTCTCTGTAAATTTTTTGGAAAAACAGAACATATATTAACTTTGTAAATAAGTGGTTGTTTATTAACACAAAAAAAACAACAAAGTAAAACATCAAAAGCTGAAAAAAAAATTAGCATGGCATGTGACATTCATAATAGGAGCAGTTATAGCTTCATAATGTTAAAATATTTAACATTTTATCACGTTTATGTTCATTATAAATATACCTAATAATATAAAATTTTGATACTTTATGATAAAAAATTACTCAAATGTGGAGAAAAAAATTCCTTGTGTTTTTGCTATGCAGATTATACACAATATATTAAGAGGAAACACAACAACTAATGTTCTCTTGCGCCAGTTATATTTAGCTAACTATACTAATTTCAGATGAGGGAAAAGCTTGAAAGAAAAAAGGAGCAGCTGAACATATTTAAAGGATGCTATAGTAAATGAAATAGTTTAGTATAATTGAAATATCATCCTTAAATATCCCATATATTACGCTTTGAGTGATCACCATTTTTTAAAAGTCCGTAATAAGAAACAAAATTCCCTGTATTTTCTGAGTTTGCAAAGAAAGAAAAAAAAATTATATTTAAATTCTATTTCAGTAGGGATTTTTTTTTTAGGAAATGTACTCAATTTTGGGGAATTTTCTAAAATGTACGAAAACCAGGATTTTAACAATTTTATTTAAACCAGTAGACCAGGAGAAACTGCCAAAATCCCGTAGTCTACTGAAAATCCGGTAGAGTTTGCAGCTATGTTTATATTAGCCATGCATAAGCACTCATCAAGAGAGATTGGTTTCTTTTCAGGATTTTTAACCCTTTAACTATAAACCTCAGCTCAACTTATAGCAAGATCGAACTTCATCTCTGAACAAATTGATTTATTTCAACACTTGTGGATAAGCACTATTCTGACATGTTTTAGCATTCCTTCATTATAAATCTACAATTCAAAGTCCTGCAATGCATGCTTAGATAGAAGATTTATCTATCAGTCCATACAAACTAAAAGATATAACAAGTTCACACCCATTTACTGTGGTGTGTCCGATTCTAGGACTCAATCTTAATGGCTGGAGGGGGTGACCTCAAATATGCTAATTAATAAGTGCAGACAATAGGAATGTTAGGAAATCAGACACAAAAATGTACTTTCTCAGATTAAACATACCTTTTTTTGAATGAATTCAGATTTCTGAACCCCAAAATATAAGGGGTAGCTGCAATCTGGGATATATGGTTCCCATTGTTTGGCTGAAGAGCGGTATTCAGTTTAAACCCTTTACTGTTAATTTTACCTTTTACGTACTTCGTCACATTAAAAACTTTTTTAGTGGATTGAATAAATTTTGCAAAAAATAAATACTATCTATTTATTTAGTGGATTGAATAATTTTTGCAAAAAAGAAATACTATCTATTTATTATTTTATCAAATAATAGACGAAAAAATTTTGAATTGTGAGATATAAAATTTTTTAGATCATTTTAAAGTATTTTACATCATGTCAAAATACAAAATATTTTAGCAAAATTGGGTAAATAGTTCGTGAAAAATCAAATTTTAAATATACAGGTTTTTTGAAATTAGATTTCTCAGGAACTATTCAACCGGTTTTGCTCCAATTTTGTATTTTGTGATGTAAAATTACATACTTTAAAATGATGTAAAAAATTTTATACCTTATAATTCTAAATTTTTCAACTAATATTTAATAAAATAATTAGTATTAATTAAAATTTACTTTTTGTATGCAGGGTTTATACAGAGATCAGAAGAAGAAATCCAAGGAGTATCCAAAAAGTCCAAAATTTTAAGGACTTATCAAAAATTAAAAATCTTTGTGTAAAAGAAAACTAAAAAGTTTTTTTTAAATTAAAAAACAGTTAGTATAAGGAACTTGCAAAAACGTTTAGTTTGCATATTTTTTTTCTAGCTCTTTTGAAATTAATTTTAACTTTGTCAAACTTCATCAAGAAAAATAAATTTATCACTTTTACGCATAAATACATTTTCCAGGTTCAATTATTTTATTATAGAAAAAACACAGGAATAAAAATTACAAAAATTGTTACAATTGTTATTGTTTACAGTAGATTTATATACATTGATACAGCATCATTTTATTATAGAAAAAAAAACTATTAAAGGAATAAGAATCATAAATAAAACAAGAATACCTTGACAGATTTATTGCAAATATCCAGGCTGAAACTTATCCTTTTATGAAAGGCAGATTAAGGTTCACCAGTACTGTAAACATCCACAGTTTGTTTAGATNCATTTTATTATAGAAAAAAGAAACTATTAGAGGAATAAGAATCATAAATAAAATAAGAATACCTTGACAGATTTATTGCAAATATCCAGGCTGAAACTTATCCTTTTATGAAAGGCAGATTAAGGTTCATCAGTACTGTAAACATCCACAGTTTGTTTAGATGGCATATAGCCTTGGGCATGATTTATGGTAGCTTCAATCACACCATCGCAGATGGCCTGGAATAGATAAAACAAGTTTTAAAACCCAATATACTTTTTTTTAACACTTAAAGATAGAAATAAAGAATTTTTAAAACTTTCTAGCAAAACAAGCACAATACAGATACAACCAGAAATCTGTCATTGCCAGTTTTAATCTAAGTGAAAAAATGAGCAGAGGCATTTATTCCCTAAAGATGCTTTTAATAATCATCTAATTTCCAGTGGAACTAACCCGTATTTGTGCTACATGGAAAAGAAGACCACGAGAACCTCCCACGGTTAACCTGACGGCAAGGGAACTCTAACTCATGATCCGTCTACCACTGAGGATATTTCACGTCAGCACAGTGGTCGGTTCAAGCCGGAATTCGTATTGACCAGTCATTGAATCCCCTGAGCCATACAATCCATTGTATTTGATGTTTAAAAGTAGAAGATATTAACTAATATACCTTTTACTTGTATTTAGCGGAACCTTTTACTTGGAACCTTTTAGCGGAACCTTTTACTTACCTTTTACTTGGATTTACTTGTATTGAACAAGAAAGAGCACATGTCCCCGGTTGTGCTAAATTAATGAAAAAAAATTTTATATGCATCCAGGAACTATTTTTTATCTCTTTTTAATACACTTCTTTTTAATAATCCCTCTGCAGTTTCATTTGAAAATTACAGGCCCAATAATTACTAAAAAATTTTATCTCATTTACCTAATAATTGAATGTCTGTTATTGTTGTAATTTGCTATGCTTGTAGGTTTATTATTTTTTTTAAAAAAAAATTTTTTTCTCTAAATACATACATTTTTCAAGCTTAAAGTAAAATGATTGCTTTAAAATGTTCTAAATCAGGGATGGGCAAACTTTTTTGGTCGAGGGGCCAAAAATCAAGGAAAAAAAATGTTTGGTGGGCCAAGTAAAAACTTCAAAATTTAAGAAAAAAAGGTGATATGCTAGTTTTAATTTAAATATTTAATAAGATGAAGGAAATTGCGATTTCATTTTTAAAAGTTCCTTACAACAAGGTTGGAAGTGAGATGTGCTTATTTTAAGGAACAAGGCTAAATGCTTTGCTGTTAGTTTACTTCTGAAATGATTTTTTCTAAGGTTCATAGTTGAAAACTCTTGGTCCCATATATAAGATTAAGCAAACATGCACTGATTTTCTGAGCATGAAATATTAAATTTCGGAAACTAGCTTTTGGTAATGATTTGTAAAACTTTGGAATAGTATTTAGAAACGACTGCTTCAGATGATTGTTAGATTGTCCGCTCTTTGGAGCGGAAAATGCGCAGTCTGCCAAATGTGAAGTGCAATTTACCTATATTAAATTCCATAAGTCAGCTCCTCGAGAGAGACAAGCGCTAGTTGGAGTTAATCTACGGCTATTCTATAAAGAACTTCTGCTTTCAACATTTTACCAATTGAAGCTGCCTGAGCTAACTACTTCCATCAATTTATATTTTGTAGAACAAAAATAGAGAAAGCAAAAACTTCATCAGTACTTTGTTAAAAAAGGAAAAACAGAAATAATTTTAAACATCGTCGACAAGAAAATGGATGTATATTGTTTATATTTGCCACTGATCGGCAAATAAAAATTCTATCCGCGGGCCGTAGTTTGCCCATCCCTGTTCTAAATGAAGCTGATTGTATTTCAAAAAATTAAAATTGAGTTGCTTATCACTACCAAAATTTAATACAAGCAAAGTATTGCTAAGTTGAAGATATTTCAAGATCACTTTCAGTTTAAATAAAGTGGATATAACAGATCGTAAAATAATTTAAATAAAGAAAAAATTCCAACTTTCATTAAAAATTCCTTGATTTTTTTTCAGGTTTTTTTCAAGTGTAAAAAAATTTATTGATAATTCGAGGTGGGTGGCCACCCTGTAAATTAACAGTAGGAAATCAAAACAAATGAAATAATAAAAACAAAATAAACAAATAAATTAACAATAAGATTATTTATACTTACAGACTGAATTTGGTCTGCATCAATGAAATGAAGTAGAACAAGGAGATGTATATAAATATCTTGTTCAGGCAATAATGGCTGTTGACTGGATTTAGCATTCTTTATTCTGGTTGGTGCTTTGTTACCATTTGTATCCATATCCATAGACTAAAAGTAAAAAAATCTTTAAATTCAGGTAAAAAAAAAACATGGAATTAAACATTTAGGAATATCATTTATTATCATCAACTATATTGATAACACAATAGCCCTTAGTCAAGGGCTATTATCTATTACAAAAATGTTTTTCTTCCAATTGTTGAAAGTTTTTCATGTACATAAAATTAACAAAAAACAAAAATAT